AATATTCGCGGGAAGCAGGGGAGGGGGCGGAGACTTTGGGGAGGGGGCGGGGTTGGGCAGGGGTGTAGGCGGGGCGGGGCCGTGGGCCTTGGAGTGTCCTCCATTTGGAGGCACAAAATATGGTAACCCTAGGCATGGGGAGTAGGGATATCAAGAAGTTGGAATGAGAGGGCGTCACTGGTGCAGGGGAAAGGGTTACAGGAGGGGAGGAAATAGGAAATTTCTCTCTGAAATGGAAGAATAAAAAGAAAGTGGGAGGGAAGACAGGGAGAGAGGAGGCCACACTGGGTATTCTTGACTTTCTCTCTGAAAAAGTCAGTAAGATCCTGTGTACAGAGGGAACTGGAGGCAGGAGAGAGGGGAAGCTTTGAGGAGAGTCAACGGGAGGAAAAAGGTGGTTCACCTTAAAACGAGTCTACATGGGCAGCTCAGGATTCCATTTCTACATGGAGGAATCCTTAGACAGTACAAAGCTGGCTTTAGCACCACCCATTTTGGCCCCCATCCTGCCCTGGGACTGGGGGAGGTGGAAAGGTGCAGCTGAAGGTTCAGCCCATTTGTCTTTATACTAAAGAAAAAGAGCAGAGATGTCTGTTTTTAATGCGTATCAATGAAAAACGTCTTCTGTGATTTTTTTTTTTTCTGAAATCAAACAAATGAAGTTAAAGTAGTATGGATTGGATGAATGGACTATAAGGTGGATAGAAAGCTAGTTAGATTGTCAGGCTCAACGGGTAGTGATCAACGGCTCGATGTCTAGTTGGCAGCTGGTATCAAGTGGAGTGCCCCAGGGGTCGGTCCTGGGGCTGGTTTTGTTCAACATCTTTATTAATGATCTGGATGATGGGATGAACTGCACCCTCAGCAAGTTCGCAGATGACACTAAGCTGGGGGGAGAGGTAGATATGCTGGAGGGTACAGATAGGGTCCAGAGCGACCTAGACCAGTGCTTCTCAAAGTCGGGCCGCCGCTTATTCAGGGAAAGCCCCTGGCAGTCCGGGCCGGTTTGTTTACCTGCTGCGTCCGCAGGTTCGGCCGATCGCGGCTCCCATTGGCTGCGGTTTGGTGCTCCGGGCCAATGGGGGCGGAGGGATGTGCTGGGCGCACATCAAATATCAAACTTTCCCTTTTAAACAAATACATATTTTTAAAATGTCTCTTAAGACACGGTGGGTCAGATTTCTTAGCATGCCATTTAGGAGAGAAGAATTTAACAGGTAAGCTGTACTTTTCTCAGTCAAATGACATGCCAGCTATCCTTCATTGATATGGTTAGTGGAAACAGCCATGCATAGGCAGGAATAGGGATCAAAAATAAAAGTTTTAACCAGATAGAGTAGAAATAACTTTCTGCAGGTCCATAATCACATTATTTTATTTGTATTTGGCTCCCACAGCATGTTAGATAAACCATGCCTTGTGCCAAATGAAAAGCCAACTTGTAGTGCTTGCTAAATATATGTGGACTTGGCTATATGGATGCCTTGCAAATTTGTTCAGACGTGCAGGTTTTCTCATTCCTGGTATAAACTGTGACTGAGTGCAGATTTCACGAACACACCTTATAATCTTTGACAATGCAGCCCTTAATCCATCTCAATTAGGCGAATTTTGAGGTATTTTTACCTCTGCATCTTCAGTGAAAGGGGACAGTACAGTAGACTTTTTAATTTATTTTCAGCAATATCCGACCAGCCCCTATTGCCGCAATAACAGAATACCTCACAGTCGTCAATGTATTTATCCTCATCGCCCTTAAGAAGTAGGAGGGTACTATAGCCTCGTTTTCCAGAAAGGGCATAGAGAGATTGACTTCTCGAAGGTCATAAAAGAAGTCAGGGGCAGAGCAGGGAACTGAACCAGCATCCTAAGCTAGCACCTTCGCCACTGGGCCATCTTTCACCAACTGTACAAGAGATTAGGACAGAAATATTAGTGCCAGTTCTCATGGTGTACAAACAAAGTAGCTTGATCTGTGAGTGAAATGAGGCATAGTTCTGAGAACTGCCTTTTCTGGGCAAAATAAGCAGTATGCGGTCATAGGGAGAACTCCTGACTCTGACATCCTGAGGGCAGAAATGATTTTACTAGGAAGTAGGGCTGTCAAGCGATTAAAAAAAGTAATCGTGATTAATTGCACTGTTAATAGGAGAATAGCATTTATTTAAATATTTTTGGATGTTTTCTACATTTTCAAATATATTGATTTCAATTACAACACAGAAAACAAAGTGTACAATGCTCACTTTATATTTATTTTTGATTACAAGTACTTGCACTATAAAAAACAAAAAATAGTATTTTTCAGTTCACCTAATACAAGTACTGTAGTGCAATCTTGTTATCATGGAAGTTGAACTTACAAATGTAGAATTATGTAAAAAAAAATTGCATTCTAAAATAAAACAATGTAAAATTTTAGAGTCTGCGAGTCCACTCAGTCCTACTTCTTGTTCAACCAATCACTCAGGTAAACAAACTTGTTTGTATTTGCAGGAGATAATGCTGCCCGCTTCTTGTTTACGTCACCTGAAAGTGAGAACAGGTGTTCTCATGGCACTGCTGTAGCCGGCGTCGCAAGATATTTCCATGCCAGATGTGCTAAAGATTCATATGTCCCTTCATGCTTCAACCACCATTCCAGGGGACTTGTGTCCATGCTGATGACAGGTTCTGCTTGATAACAATCCAAAGCAGTGCGGACCGATGCATGTTCATTTTCATTATCTGAGTCAGATGCCACAAACAGAAGGTTGATTTTCTTTTCTGGCGGTTCGGGTTCTGTAGTTTCTGCATCGGAGTGTTGCTCTTTTAAGACTTCTGAAAATATGTTCCACATCTCGTCCCTCTCAGATTTTGGAAGGCACTTCAGATTCTTAAGCCTTGGGTCGAGTGCTGTAGCTATCTTTAGAAATCTCACACTGGTACCTTCTTAGCATTTTGTCAAATCTCCAGTGAAAGTGTTCTTAAAATGAATAACATGTGCTGGGTCATCATCTGAGACTCCTATAACAAGAAATATATGACAGAATGCGGGTAAAATAGAGCAGGGGACATACAATTCTCCTCCAAGCAGTTCAGTCACAAATTTAATTAACATATTATTTTTGTAATGAGCGTCATCAGCATGGGAGCATGTCCTCTGGAATGGTGGCTGAAGTATGAAGGGGCATATGAATGTTTAGCATATCTGGCACGTAAATATCTTGCGATGCCGGCTACAAAAGTGCCATGCAAATGCCTGTTCTCACTTTCTGGTGACATTGTAAATAAGAAGTGGGCAGCATTATGTCCTGTAAATGTAAACAAACTTCTTTCTCTTAGCAATTGGCTGAACAAGAAGTAGGA